TCATAAAAGGCTCTTACAATATTGCATTTAAAAAAAAAGAGTTGGAATTAAAGTTTGCAAGAGTGAAAATTGTGCCCTGCAGAGGTATAAAGGGAAAGTAAAAGAACAGAACGAACAGGAAGGGCTGAGTCTATAACATCTCAGTCTTACAAAGTAGGAATTGTAGGAGGAGGGGCTTGGGTGGAGCTCAGTGGTAGAGTGTTTGCCTAGCATGAGCTTTGGGTTCCATTCCTAACAACACACACATACCCCCCCACACACACACACACATCCCTAGTAGAAATGAAAAAGCAGAATCTAGAAATTTAATGCTTAAAGATGTAAAGGCAACCAGTAGAGGGGTTAAAAGGAACTGTCTTGAGATGAATGTGTATCTGTCATTGTACAAGGTAAATAGGTAATAATCTATACTTAATACATGAGGAAGTCACATTAAAGGCATTTATTTTATTTTATATTTTTAAATGTATATTATATATATTTAAGTAGATATGTATGTATTTAAAGAAATATATATGTATTTGAATGTATATATAAATATATGCCAAAAAACTAAAAACAAATTATAAAATTGGTTGCTTCTTCGAAGTAGGACTGGATGTGAAAAAGGGTAAGGCTTTTTGTCATGAGCTCATTTTAAATTTGTAATGAATATTTTGAAACTTTTATTGTTTGAGAAAGAAGCATTCCTTTATGAAGCCGGCAGGCTGTAAAACCCATCACATACTTAGTGAAGGGTGCTCCCGAGTCCTGAGCCTGCACAGGCTGCATCACTGGCCATCTTTCTAGAACACACCAACTAAAACTCGCCTGAGAGCTTCTGTACTTTTTTTTAAAATGTTTTTTCATGACTAATTTCTTCCCATTGTTCTTAATTATACTGTCCTCAAAGGGGCCACCTACCAGCCTTTCCTGAAGTTTACTCCCCAACCAGTTGCTTTCTATCACATTGGCCTGTTACTTTCTTCATAATACTTAAGGTCCCTGAAATTATCTTATTTATAGTGTGTCTTTCCCATCACACCATAAACTTATAAAATAGAGACATTACTCCAATTTATTCATTACTAGATCTCTAGAATATAAAACTATGCCTGCCACATAGTAGGTCTTCACTGAGTATATCTTCTGTGAACAAAGTCTTACAAGTATCATAGCACCTGTAGCATCCTTGTAACTCCTTGAGAACAGTGAGATCATCGCTCTCTTCCTCTTTTTCCTTTTCTATTTTTTTCATCCCCAGTATCCAACACAGGGTCTGATTTCAAAATATGAGCTAAATATCTACAGTTTATATTAGGTGTTCAGTAAAAGTTTCTTGCTCAAATGAGTGTTCTTATATATGAGAACACTATGAGTGTTCTTATGTACCATTCTACTGTGAATGTTCTTATATACTATTTTATTTAGTCTGTTTTTTTTTAGTGTGTACATGTGTGTGCACATGCATACAAACCAAGGGGGGTTTTTCACCATTAAAACCTTGTAAGTGTCATAGCAGTGACTTTCATTTCTAGTTCTTCTTTGCCATCCTCTAATGGTGAAAGAGCTCTCACTATTTTGAAAAGGATCATGAGTGTTCTGGACTATTTACAGAGAAAAATTTAGGTAAAGGCTTAGCGAAGTCTTAGGGTACAAGTATACATCCTTCATGTGGGTGAGCCGAGGCCTAGTATAGATGACTGTAGTGGCCTGACAGTGATGACAATAGCACCTGTGGCTCCTCTACCCAAAGTGGTAAAAATGGTAAAGGGTGACTTGGCTTGCAAATAGTTCTCCACAGCGGGCCAACGACCATCCCTTCACCAGGTTTTCTATGCTGTTACTATTTCTTTGTCTTTGTATCCCTGATATAACAATCTCAGTTCTCCACAACTCAGTACAAATGCCTCTGCAGCAATGTTGGGGGAGCAAGAAAGAAAAGTACAGCACTAACATTTCAAATCTTTTCCTCACTGTCTACAATATTACATATATGAAAAACCACATCATCCACTGGATCCTCCTTTCAGAATTACCAAAACAAAGCTATTTAAAATCAAAATGGGACTGTTGTAGATCATGGATTGCATTGCTTGGAAATAGCACAAGGTGGTGCAAGTGAACTTCACATGCAAATTCTTCAACAACCCTTGCAGAGCTCCAGTGAACCCATGTAATCCTGGAATTTTACATCTCAAGAGCTACTGCAGCATTCTAACTTCCTCAGACTGAAGAAGTAGGATCATGTCAATATGATCTTTTTTATTTTAGGAAATACCCTTAGTGTTTGCTTTTGAGATTACTTGGAGAAATAATGATCTCACTAATAGTCTTATTATTTTTGGTTAAGAAAAGCCATGAATCACTGTAATGAATTATAAAATAGTGAGACCAATTTCAGTACATCCTATAAAATATCATCTTTGCTGCCTGCACTCAGAGGTTTCATATTACAAGAAAGGGAAGGATGAGGAAAGAAGGAAGGGATGAGGGAAAAAGGGCATAAAAACACAAGAAGGAAGGAAAGATCTATTTTTAGGTTTTTTTCAGTTATCTAAGACTCACAAGTCTTAAATCACAAAGGTATAAAATATTAGGGATATAAAGCAGCTTACAAATGATCTGGTTGAACTTTTTTATTTAATGGGAAGGAATGAAGACCCTGAGAAATTAAATGACACATTCAAATACTCATTATTAGTAGGAGAGGCAGAATATGAAGGCACAGAATGTTGTGATTCTTGTGCTAGGAATTGGACCCAGGGCTTCATACATGCTAGCACTCTCCCACTGAGCTATAGTGCCAGCTCCCATGAAAGAAATCGTACAAAAATTATGTCAGTGTGTATTCACCAGTGCCCCTTCTGCAGTTTGCTATTCCTAATAAACAGCACTGTGACACTAAGAAATAATCAGCATTACTGTTACTACTATTTAGGCTGCTTGGGGGTACCTTCCAACTAATGACAAATCCTAGGATGAGTAGTATTTTTAAAAAATAGCCAAAGAAAATTGTTTCTTTTTAAAATATTTTGAAATTTTTAAACTTTGTTTTGCCATTATGGCCACTCTCTCAAGCAAACTGCATAATCCAAAAAAAAAGAACCAGAGTCATCTGTACTGCCCATTCAAATTGACAGTGTCCCAACATGGGCCAAAATATCTTGGTTTGAAAGCAAAACGTCACCATTTATAGAAATGTATAAGAAAGACAAACATTAAGAATTTTTTTTCCAACATTTTTACTAGTAAATTTTATAATACATGATTATATTCCTGGTGGGGGGAGTTTGTTCATGTACATAACACACATTAATTCTTTTTTATCTCCCTTTTCTCCCCTTTATCCCCCTCCCTTCATCTCAGTCACTCAAAAAGCAGTTTTATGTGCTTTGATTAATTACTGAACAAAGTTTACCCAAAACAATAATTTGAATTCTTTCTTTAATGGGCAGCCAGGAGATTTTTACTCCCTAGGAAAATGCAAATTCCAGATAAATGAGAGTATGCCTTTCTTTATGTAGAAGAAAGGACTATAATGAAAGGAGAAATAAGAATGCAGGATTTTTCTATAGGCAAAAGAAAGAATCTTGACTAAAAAAGAAGAAATGAGGGTGGGGATGTAGCTCAGTGGTGCAGAGCCTGCCTGGCAAACTTGAGGCCCTGAGTTTGATTCCTGGTACCAAAAAAGAAAATAAAAGGCCCTTAAAAAAGAAAGAACAAGAAACAAATAGTATATTATGGCTGAACAAATAACTGACTTTCAGGCTTTGACACATAGAAGTTAGGACACTGGGCAAGGTCAAGTTGACTCTGAATATGATGCTTCTTAATGATAGCTTCTCTGTGTGCCACTATGAACCAAATAAAGGGTAATATTTTAGTATTACAATCTAATAGGGAAGGATGATGTAGAAAAAATAATATGTGTTCTAATCCCACCAAACAATTACAATCTCTTTCTCTCCTGTTGGATTTTATACATTTCTCATATTTATTTCCTGGATTTTAAACTCTTCTGAGTAGAGATTCATTTTTATAGACTTCCCAACCCAAAGAACTGCTTTTGCATCTAATGGGAAAATACAGAGACTTGGGACTGAATGAAAACTCTTTAGAGTTTTGCAATAGGTCATATGGGGCATTTGTTGAAGGTCTAAAAAAGTATGAGACTGACAAAAATGAGGAAGAAAAAGCTGGTTCCCAACAGGAATTTATAAAGTAGTTACTTGAAATGAGACCCAAAACACAAACCAAATAAAAGAAATACCTCACTGGAATGTCTAAAATGTGTTTCAATTTTGAATTTGATTAAAAATAATTGAATCATAGTTTAAAAAGAAGCAAACCCAAATCTTTCAAATGAGTGAATAGTGAAATTTTGTGGGGATTTTAGGCACATATCTGAAGAGCTCCTTTTTTTATTGTTCATAAAGGAGTAATAAATAACCATACAAATAAGTACCAAACAGGTGAGTTCATGTAGAAAGGGAAATCTGTATTCCATAACTATAAACTTAAGACTTCTAACATGTTGTCAAGACATTTCCATGTTATCCAGCATGGGGTTCACCTACTATGCCAGTCACACAGCCAAGAATGTCAGGTTCCTTTGCTAAAAATATCCCAACTTATATCATCTTGGCAGACAACACACACACACACACAAAATCTGTCCAATAAAGTGACCAAATTTTATGAGATTGAATATAAGCAGAAGGGACATGTAATAGTTGAATAATCTTGAACACTAATTAAGCCTCAATCTTTTCACCTTTAAAATGATATTTTTAACACAGGTCCACAATCTCTGCTCTGCAATTCCAAAATAAGACAGAAACAGAAAGCACTCTGAAACCCAAAAGTATTTTGCACATCTGGCACCAGGACTATTTGGCCACAAAACCTACCATGAATAACCATGGAGCCTCTATTTTTTCAGCACTCAGATCCATCCATCACATATGACTCTGTTACTTGCTGACACTTTGTGACTTACAGATTAATAGTATTGGAAAATGTCCAAAAGAGTGAATTTTGTACCTATGGTTAACAGTGAAAGGAAGAAAAGGAAGCATCTGTCTTTGTCAATAGCTCAGAAAGTAGAGTTATTGCAGAAGCTTGATGCTGGTGTGTCCGTGAGACATCTTACTGAAGAGTATGGTGTGGGAACCACCACCATATATGACCTAAGGAAACAGAAAGACAAGTTGCTGAAATTTTATAGTGACAGTGATAACCAAGAGCTAATGAAAAGTAGAAAAACATTGCACAGGGCCAAAAATGAAGATCTTGACCGTGTGTTGATTGAATGGATTCGACAGCAAAGAAGTAAAGATATGCCACTAACTGGTTTATTGGTCATGAAACAAGCTAGAATATACCACGAGGAACTGAACATTGAAAGTGCGTGTGAGTATTCAGAAGGCTGGCTGCAGAAATTTAAAAAGCGTCATGGTATCAAATATCTTAGAATGTGTGGTGAAAAAACTTCTGATCATGAAACTACTGAAACTTACATTGATGAATTCGCTAAGATAATATCTGATGAAAACCTTAGCCCTGAACAAATTTACAATGCTGATGAGACAGCTCTGTACTGGTGTTATGTTCCTAGAAAAACCTTAACAATGGCTAATGAAAGGTTACCAACAGACCTCAAGGATGCTAAGCAAAGATTAACTGTTCTTGGGTGTGCTAATGCTGCAGGCACACACAAAATAAAATTGGCAGTGATAGGAAAAAGCCTAAATCCAAAGTGTTTAAAAGATGTGGGCAGTTTACCTGTGCATTATTATGCAAACAAGAAAGCATCAGTAACAAGAGAAATCTTTTCTGACTGGCTCAATAAGCACTTTGTGCCAGCAGCGCGAGCTCATTGCAAGCAATCTGGACTGAAAGACAATTGCAAAATTTTACTGTTTCTAGACAACTGTTCTGCACATCCCCCTCCAGAACTTCTTGTGAAAAGTAATGTTTTCAGCATTTACCTTCCCCCTAATGTAACATCTATAATACAGCCCTGTGACCAAGGAATTTTGCGCTCCATGAAAAGCAAGTATAAACAATTTTTTTTTGAACAGCATGCTTGCTTCGGTTAACAGAGGCCTTAAAATCCAGGATTTCCTGAAAGAGTTTAGTCTTAAGGATGCCATCTATGCAGTTGCTAATGCTTGGAATGATATTGATAAGTCAACATTAACAAATGCTTGGCACAGACTTTGGGCTACAATGATGTTTGAAAATGACCTTGCTGATGAAGATTTTGAAAGCTATAACGACTCAAATGAGAAGATGATGATATCAAAACTCATTACTTATGCCAAAAGCTTATCAGCTGAAAGTGTAAATAAGTTAGAAGAAGCTGACATTGAAGAAATACTGAACATTGACAATGATGCCCCTGTTGTGCATCCTCTGAGCGAGGGGGAAATTGCTAAGGTGGGCCTATGTACCGAACAGTGTGAAGACAGTAGCAGTAATGATGATGACAGTGTAAGCACAGATGAAAAACACTCAATAGACCAAATGGTGGAAATGTGTGACCAGTTAATTGCTGGCCTTGAACAATGTGCATTTATCAGTAAACAAGAGATCATGGCAATTTACTCAATTAAAGAGAAACTGCTTATACAAAAACCTGTGCTAAGGAGACAAATGACACTGGGAAAAGTTTTCAAAGGCTCTCTGTATTAATACCTCTTCATTACTTGAGAAGCCTCCTTCTGATTCACCCACATATGTTTAGCTTCAGTCTAGTTTTTTTTTTTTTTACTTTTTTTTTTTTTTTTTTT